GGAAGGAAGGAAGGAAGGAAGGAAGGAAGGAAGGAGGGAGGGAGGGAGGGAGGGAACACAGAAAGACAAAAAATAAGAGAAAGTTAGGGAAAGACAGGGAGCAACGGGAAAGATCTGTTTCCCAAACTTGAGGCACCAAGTGCCAGGTTATCTTGTGCTCCCCTCCCGGGCGGGGCCGCCGCCTCCTCGGCCCACCTCGGGGTGCTGATGAGGGGCTGGGAATGTCCCCCCCGGGGCAGTTCATCAGAATAGGAACGTGATTGTATCCGATAAATTCCTGGGCCCCACTGGCGGGTCCCATCCCCCCGAAGCGCTGACTTTAGAAAATGTCTTGAAGACGGTGAAGCACCTTCCAAGGCGGAACAAGAACTGTCATTTGGGTAAGATGGCGATGGTGGCACCTGTTCGTCACAGACGCCCCCGGGACCCGGGCAGGGAGGGCCGGCGACGTTCACGGTGCGGGGAAGGCAGGAGTCGATCCCGTGGCGCGTGGGACTCGGCCTGAAAACTGCGCCTGTGTCCATGACACGCTCGTGTGAGCACAGTGGCAGTCATGGTTAGAACTGCAGGCAGAGAGAATAGAGGAAAAGACGGAATAACTACTAATATGACTATTGCAATTTTGGGTTTGGAAAGCATTTTTCAAAAATCATAATTTTTAGCAGGGAAGTTGAATCAACACACACAAAATGCAACAATTTCAGCCCATTTTGGCAAAAAAAGCTGGTTTTGCCTACTTTTCATGTTGCATTAAAAATACCATATTTATATGTATAATACTTTGATCTTAACGTCCTCTGGATTTATCAGCTAAATGGCTTGACTGCACAAAGCTAAGGACAACCGTCCCTTGTATTTTGCGGAACTAACTTCAGCATCTTTTTTCTTTTTTTAACAACAAAAGAGCTGACCGGCTGTGTCCTGTACATTAGGAGACTGAAGACAGGCAACGTAGTTCCAACCCCATGACCCGGTCAGCCCGTCTCCAACGCTACAGCACAAAACACTAACAGGGGAGGCCCTGGAAAGAGGGAGGAAAGACCTGAGTCCTTCATGCTTAACTGTCAGCCTCAGACCGTTTCCTTGATAACAAACCCAAGGGCAGGCGTTCTCCCAGACAATGCACATCAGCAACGAAATGTGAAATTTAGTTTTAATATGACCCTTTCTAACTTAACTTGTATAGCAGCAGGCTCACTGAGAACCCTGTTCCGTGTGAGTGTGTGTGTGGGCCTGTGCCTGTGTGTGTGCATGTGTGTGCGTGTGTGATGGGGGAACATCTCGTGATTCAGGCCCTAACATTACTCCAGGGTATGTGGGTACAGTGTGAAGCCAGAGGAAATAGGCCTTGGAATAAAGAGAGATGGTTTCTACGGAAACTGGATGACACACTAGGCCTAAGGCTCTCCCCACAGGGCAGTGGTACCAAATTGCGGGCACCCGCCACCACCCGCGAGACTGCGGAAATTTAGACTTTGGAGTTCTCCTCACAGGTGTAGGGATGAGCCCAGAAATGCGCACTTTGAACAAGCTCCCCATGTAATGCTAAAGCAGGGCCCAGTTCTGAATCACACATGCACACACCACACTCACACGTGTGCACACACCACACTCACACGTGTGCACACACCACACTCACACGTGTGCACACACACCACTCACGTGTGCACACACCACACACAGGCACACCCACGTGCACATGCACTTACACACATGCACACACCACACTCGCACATGTGCACACACCACACACACACGTGCACACATCACACTCACACATCACACATGCACACACACATGCACACATGCACTTACACACNACCACACTCACACATGTGCACACACCACACACATGCACACACACGTGCACATGCACTTACACACATGCACACACACCACACACATGTGCACACATCACTCACACATCACACATGCACACACACATGCACACATGCACTTACACACACGCACACACACCACACACACATCACACAGGCACACACACATGCACACATGCACTTACACACACGCACACACGCACACACCTGCACCCCTGAAGGACAGCAGACAGAGGTGGCCCCAGCCATTATATTCTTGACTCAATGTCTCAATAGTGAAGGATGTTTCCAGCAAAAGGTCAAGATTTTAATTCGAATCCATTATGTTTCCTGGAATTGGTGTGATATTAATTAGATGCTTAAAATAATCATCTAAAGCGTATTTCCTCACGGGCATCACAGGAAAACTCTCCCGGGTGTGCAGGGCTCTCAGCAGTGTGTGCACGACCAGCCTCGTTCATTGCTGCTACTCCTCCATCGATTCCAACATATTAATTAGGACAAAGCCCACACCAGCCCTGAACCCCGATCTATGTGCAGTTTAATAATCATCGCACCGCAGTGATTAGAATGATCGTGGGGCGACTGTGAAAAATTCATTGGCTGCAGCAGCGCCGAGCTCTTTGAGTCCGTGTTGAAAAACAATTACGGGGCTTAATTAGGAGCATGTAACGATGACAGCACTTGTTCCAGTGATTGATTTCAAAACTAAGGGGACCTGGCAAACCGAGTGCAGTGTCCGCTTTGCTTTGAAATGAAAGGGAACCGGGGTCCAGAGACCGTGCCGCGCGAGCTGGTGACCGCGGCGTGGCCACGTTGGCAGGGGCCCGGGCGGCGGCCAGAGAGGAGACTTTCTCCATTTGCTTCACCTGAGGTCGCACACGCTGCACACGTTCCCCCAGAAAAACCTGATTTGGCAGAACGTTCAGCAAAGTGGAACATAGTATTTTTGACTATTGTCTTTCAAATTCCTTTTATCAAAAAGAAGTTCAGGTGCCCAGAACTGGGTCAACAACTTGTAAGCCATGACTCGGTCCAAAGGCTGGATGGATTTGATATTAGTCAGTCGCCTCTGATCTTTCTCAGGGTCGAGGGGCAGTTGCCTGAGTCTATTTCTTTCCTACTGTGGCAGGCGTTTGCCAGGCGCGCCCCACGGGGTGTTTCACGAGGCCCTAAAAAGGTCGATGACGTTGGGAAGAGCCCTGTAAAATGTCGCTCCTTTCCCAGTTCCCACCCCAACCAGCGCATGTGTCATCTGATCCTCGTGTGACCAGAAGAATCCCGGGAGAGCGGACGGACCCCAAACCCTTGTGGTTTGGAAATTGGCTGTTTCCTGGGAACAGCCACCCACCTGTTCTCCTAAGCGACTGGTTATCTTAACTCAGCGTCTTTAAATGTCTGCTTTCCTGAGGGGTCTCCATGAATACACACAGCTTGTGCCCTTGGAATGTATCTCATTAAATATGATGAAAGTCAGGGGTGCAAGGCGGGGACAGTGAGAGATCATTACGGGGCATTCACTCATCTTCAAATGACCAAATGGAATTTCCAAAGCATCTTACGGTTCTTTTTTTTTTAAATCTATCTATTGATTTCAGAGAGAGGAAGGGAGAGGGAAAGAGGGAGCATTAGAAACGTCAATGATGAGAGTCACTGATCGGCTGCCTCCTGCACGCCCCCGACTGGGGACCCAGCCCAAAACCCGGGCCTGTGCCCCGACCGGGAATCGAACCCCGATCTCCTGGACACTCAACCCCTGAGCCACGTCGCCTGGGCAGCATCTTACAGTTCTTAAAAATAAAGAATGGCGAGGCCTCTCCTAACTGATTCTTGGACTAGAGGATCGCCCACCAATAACTGAGCCAGGAGACTTCGCTGCCTCAGACGGAAAGCTCTGGGCTGCGTCTGTCCTGTTCAGGCACCACGCTGTCTGGCGTCTCTGAGCACCGGGGGCTGTCCCCAGCGTGATTAATTCTCCCAGGAAGAGACTAACAGAGACAGTTGTGCTCCGTGGTCGCCAGGCTGTCGTCCGCTGTTATCGGCCCCAGACTGGCACCGGGAGATCTGTGCCATCTCTCCAGTGCCGTTTACAACACGCTCGTCCCGGTGCTGCCCCTAAATCACTCTGACAGTCCATTTCGCAGTGTGGCGCCGGGTGAGGGGCCGGTCCTGCGGCTGGAAGAGCTGCTCGGGGAACGAATGTCTAAGTTTTCCCTCTCGTGTTGAAGGCTGTCGCCTCTTGCTACACGCCTGGTGCATGTTTGTAATTCACGGAGAGCAGGTCTTTCACCAGGTCCGCGTGGTCAGCGGTTGAGTGTCCACCTAGGAGCCAGGAGGTCAGGGTTCGATTCCCGGTCAGGGCACAGGCCCGGGTTGCGGGCTCGGCCCCCCGCCGGGGGCGCGAGGGGGCAGCCGATGGATGCGTCTCTCACATCGGCGTTTCTATCTCCCTCTCCCTTCCTCTCTCTGAAATAAAAACATATTTTTTTTTAAAAAAGAGTAGATCTGTCAAATACCCCGTTCCTGGCATCACTGGGCTCACGGGGGTGGTTGTCTTTGGTGGACCTGGTGGGATTGTCTCCACATGTTCCCTCGCTGGGTTTCCTTACTGGTCCCCAGGGTTACAAATGCATGTTGTGTGTGACAACTAGGGGCCGACTCTTTATTCATAAGCATAATCTGGTTTCTTTTCCCTTGAAGGTGGAGGCAAAATGGCAGAGACCTCGACTTCTCCACGAGTTCTCGCTACAGGCTGGACAGCGGCAGCCTGGCCATCGGCCACCCGCGCCCGGATCGGGACAGGGGCACGTACCAGTGCCTGGCCACCAACCTGCTGGGCACGGCTCTGAGTCGGAAGGCCCAGCTCCAATTTGCATGTGAGTTTCTGGGAAAAATCTATAATTCCCGTGATTATGAAAATGTAGTATTTTTATTATATTCATTTTAGGAGAAAATCCGGCTTTGCCACTCAACCGCGCTCGGAGAGCAAACATGAATTTACGGAGGCGAGACGTTTCCACAGAGTGGGTTCTGCGAATCCAGACTCCCGCGGTTAAATGGAGTCTGTTTCGACAAAAGCAGACAATCGCACTGTTATTACGTCCCGTGACTTATATTTAGAAACAGCTCTGAAAGTTCCAGATGGAAATAGTAAGATAAAGACACAGGATCCATCTCTACCTCCCCTTCCTCTCCTGTGCTGGATGCGGGGGTGCAGAGGGGCCCAGGGCAGGCCTGGCTGTGGAGAGGCGGCCGTTACCCCAGGGAGGAGGCCAGGCCCACGCGAGATGCAGGTGGGGGCAGAGCGGTTGCCACGGGCAGACTTTATATTAACCCGAACACCGTCCAGCGGCGTCGCATAAATGTCATCCAAGTAATTACCTTGGTGACATTTGGGGACATTAGCAGATGAACAATAGACACAGTGTCTCATTCCCTTTATATGCAGTGTTGCCAGGGGCGGAAATGTCCTGTGGGGAACCCGGGGACGGCTGGAATGTCCTCCTCTCTGTGGACGTGGGTGCAGAAGGAGGTTGCCCTTCCCCGGCGCCTCCTCCCTCAGCCCCCCACCCAGGGGACCCTTCAGGGGCCGGGGACAGGTGCTCAGGGAAGGGCCCTGCTGTCTGTTACCTCGAAAAAGTGATTGCTTTGAAACTTTATTAATAAAATCTATGTCCAGAGCCCACCTTGTGGAACTGCTTTTAGGGCTCAGGGGTATATGAATTAATCACTGGGTCTGTTTCCCACTCATGTCCCTGAGACCCTTGTTCCACCCATGGGAAGGTTCCCCTGATGGTGACCAATTTGGGGCTGGCCCCATTCCTGAATATATAAATATATATATGTGTGTGTGTGTGTGTGTGTGTTTGTGTGCATGTGTGTATAGTGTCCCAAAAAATGTATATACACTTTGAATAATTATAAAAGCAGTGTTTATTAAAATACATTTCATTTTCAAAATGTAATAGAATCAGCTGCTAAAGTGTGTATGCACTTTGGGGGATGCCCTGTATACATATATATATATATATATATATATATACACACACACACACACACACACACATATATATATTCAGAAATACAAGTGCATATGTATGCACACATGTGTTTGCATGTGGTTGTACACACACATTATACACAGGATAGAGCAAATGTAGGTTTACAGTGGTGAGTATGCGAAACACAGTTTATTCTTGTATTATTACTTATTACTTATTGTATTGTTTTCCATACGAACAAAGGCAAGCCTGCACTAGCCCCCCCGTATGCCCACACACATGAACATGCGGCCCTGCACACACACGCACACGCACGCACACGAGTGCACTGCCAGGTGCACGTGGCTGTGCCCGCAGGGCCTGCACCTGTGAAACAAGAGAAAGAAAGCAAAGCGTGGAGCTAAATGCCACACACCTGGCGCCTGGCGGTCACATCAGAGCTTAGGGTAAAGGCAATTACGATGCTTCCCGTCTGCATTTCAGCCGAGATCACCCCCCGGCAAAATAATAGGGACCAAGATACTGGTGGGAAACGTGTTTTACAGAAATAAGCGACTGCCCACGGACTTTGGATGGTTCTCCCCAATATTTCGCTTCTCCTGCTGGGATAGGAAATGGTCCCTGGGGATGCCTGTGACCGGGATCAGGCTCCACAAACATGCGCTCGACCACATAAGACACCTGGCTTGTCCAGGGCTGTGGGCTCCCTCCGGCCCCGACAGCAACGGCTTCTCACGCCGGGAACTGAGGCGCCGCCGTTTTTTATATTGCCCTAGAGTCCCTCCTTTTCTTTGTCCAATTTTTTAACAAAATATACTTTTAAATTCACTGCATTATTATTTCTTACCTTGTTTTAAAAAAAACCAACTACCTGTTCTGAGATGTTCCCCTAAATCAAACCTGCTTGAAGCGGCCGTTACCAGGCAAACCCTGCATCTCTGCAGACTCGTGAAGTTACGTTTTGCGTTATTAGAACAAGAGGCGCTCGCTGCCCTTCCCCAGGGGATGCTGCCACTCCGAGTACCCGGGTGGCGCCAACGTAAAACCCCCGCCCCGCCCGGCCCCCCCAACCCTGAAGCACATCCCTCCACGGGTGGCCGGTCACCCAGAGCCCCAGTGGCCGCCCCGGGCCTCGCGAAGGGTGCAGCCAGTCTGACCTTTATCAGTGACACGTGTAGCTGCTTGAATTTCTCTCAGTTCCCGAGGACTTTGGGGATCAGGCGGAGGGTGGGTGGCGTCCTCTCGCGTGACTGTTTGTTACTTGCTCTGCCCTGCGGGAGGGAGCGTTGCACCTGCCACGGGAACAGAAAGATCCGTGGCTTGAAAGAAACCTATGATCTCACTGAGCTGGGTTTTTTGGGGGGTTTTTTGGAGATTCTTATACAACGCTAGCCATGGATCAACGTGTGGGATAAAAGTCACTTATGAACCGGACTTCCGGGTCCTGTGCTATTTAATACTTAGCCACAGGTTCCGTTCTCAGTAAGTTTGCTCCATTCGTGCAGACGCGGGGCAGCAAGACCGGAGTCTCCTAACTGAACAGCTTAACCTGCTCACCCGCCAGCCAAGCCGAAAGCGCCGCGTTCACGCGTCAGGCCCACCAGTGGAGATGTTTCGAATGATGCTAAGGAATTTGGAACGGTCGTTCGTTGTGGTTTGAAACCGCCACATACCTTTTCCTTGAAAGAATCTGCCTGACGTGTTAAAGCCACCACACACACGGTTAGGGGAGCCCCACACCGCAATCCCCACGCCCGCGAGTGGGGCTGCAGGGTGCTCGTCCGCGGCGCGAGGCCGGCTTCAGGCGGGGGAGGGAACACGCGGCAAGAACCCACCTTAAAGGCCGTAAGCAGGCAGGACCTCTCGGCCTGCGGCTCTGGGCCGGGCGAGCCCGGGCCGAGGCCTGCGGCCCGTTTCGTCCTCGCTCGGCGCCCGGAGCCGCTCGGAAGCCGAGTTCTACAGGCGGAGAAGGTCAAGGCCCCAGCACGAGGCCCCTCGGCCACAGTCACCCCGCCTGCCGCCGACCCGGGATTTCCCGCATCTCCATCGGAAAGCAATTTTTAAATATTGACTATATTTACCTGCAGATGGAGGAAGTAAAGCAGGATCCTCACGAACCGAAAGNCAACTATATTTACTTGTAGTTGGAAGAAGTAAAGCAGGATCCGCAGGAACCGAAAGCCACAGCCGCAGGCAAAGGTGGTGCCTGTTCTCCAGGCGGACGTCCCGCTGAGGGCCGAGGGCCCGCGAGGCAGGTTTTCTACCGTATTTGCCTTCTCGCGGGTGAGGTGCGGTTTCATTTCAGTCTCGGCCCAGGGTCTTCACGAGAAGAAAGGGAAAGGAAAAAACCCATAACCCCCCCCACATTTAAATATACATTTAAATATACATTTTAAAGGCCTCGCGGGCCCTGATCACTGCAGAAAGCCTCCGCATTTTTTTCAATATATAAGAAACGCGGAACCAGTTAAACACGATCCTGACGATACGGTGATAAAGCGCATTTTTATCTCAAGAAGAAATTAAGACCCAGGGGAAGAAGTTTAAAAATGACACTTAAAAGTGCGTTTGGAGACGGGAAAGTCTCCGGCGACTGCGGCGCGTGGACAGCGGTTAACGCGTATCTGATGACAGACGAACACGCCAGGCGGCTTCTTACCTTTCTTTGTGCAGCGGAGAAGCAGCAGCTAAGTAAAGTAGGCAAAGGCGTATTTTTTTCCTGGAATTTCTTAAGAAAGTTGAAAATTAGTATTGCTTTTCCACCCTCATTTTGGAAACAGCAGCAAACAACATCGCCGTGGATTTCATATTCGAATGCGCCCTAATGCAGTAACGGCGCGGCCCCCGGCTGGTCTCACGTCCAGGAGAGAGCTTCGTCTTTGCTTTTAAAAATAATGCACGTCCCAGGCGAATGGACTGTGCGCGGCCGCCGGCCGAATTACAGAGCAAGCCGCTATTATGTTTATTTTTTAAATCAACAGGGAAGTCGATCGCCCAAGGTTTTATCTTCACTTTTCCTTCATCATCACGGCTGGACATCTATTTATGTGACTCATCGGAAATGACGCTCTTTCAAAATCCAGGCCTTTCCTCACCCCCCACCTCCACTTACACGCGGCAGGGCTGTTTGCGGTTTATTTGAATAAAATTGCACGTTCTCGCCGCCCGGGCTGAGCCGAGGTGGGAGGGAGAAGGTGGGGAGGCGAGGGATGGGCTCCACCCGCGCCGAGGGTTCCCGATCCGCGGCCCAGAGAGAACCCAAGGCTGACACGGTTTTGAGGGAGTGTGAACGCAGCCCTCGGAGACGCTGCTGTTGAGATTTATAAGAACGGCCTGGGAATGACACCGAAACCCTCGTTTGCTCTAACGGATCCGACGAAATCTCCTCGGAGGTGTATTATCAACAGATAGTCAGTGTTACTTAAGCGGCAAATTAGAATCCAGGACTTCAAAGTAAACACACTTTACGGGCAGGCAGCTCAATCTGGAAAATGAAGTGTGATTTAATGAACACGCTTTTTTAACTATTCAAAGGGCGAGCACACCTTTTGGGGGACATGATAAAGGGTTTCCGGGGGCAGGCTCTGGAGTCGCTCGCTGTGGTTTAAGGTGTTAGCGTGACCCCTTCCCCGCCCAGGGTACAGCCCGTGGAGAGGACGGCAGAACACGTGAACCCGCGACACAGCGCCACTCAGCCGTGTCCAGGGAGAACGTGGCCCCCAGCCAGCAGGTCCTCCCCTGCCACCCTCCTGTCCATTACCTGGGCCCGGACATTTATAACGAACGTTGCCTTTTGAAACTTTATGTGAACAGCACGATATAAATTCCACTGCGCCTGGCTTTTTCGCCCAACAGAATCTCCGAGCTCCGTCCATGTTGCTGCAGTGGTTTTGGTTCACTCGGCCCCGGCCCCGGCGTATATAATGTTTTACTGCAGGCATGTGCCGTAATTTGCGAATGGCTTCTGCTGCTGATGGAAATGTGGGTTGTTTGCAGTCGCAAGGAGGGATAACTTAGTTAATCTTCTTGCGCATGTCCCTTGGGACGGCCGTGCATACCCGTCTCTGCTGCGTGCGCCGTGGGGTGGAATCGCGCGGGATTTGGGAATGCCCGTCTGCGGCTCTAGAAGGCAATACCGACCGCTGTCCATCGCGACTGCATTAAACTCTTCTCTAATGGGCAGTGTTTTCCGGGCAACGCTGCTATGGTCAGCTTTATTCAAATGTCAGCATTTCCAGAGGATATGAAAGGGCACCTCGCCTTAGCTTGACTTGCGTTCCTGAGAACCGACGCGGCGGGTCCCCGTCTACAGGTGCACTGGTCGTCGCAGACCCCTCCCCACTTTAAAAGGAACATTGAAATCATTTTCCCCAGAGGAGACGCAGATGCTGATCTCCATTCCCAGATTCTCGTATCCATTCTCACAGTTAAACGACGTCTATTTATTGAGCACTTACTATGCGCCAGACACAGGCAGGAGCCGGGAGCAAGGTACCGTCTATCTTCTGCGCGTGTGCACCTGCTCAGATACAACTACGGGCACTTTTTAAAGAGCAACAGCGAATGTATTCATGCCACTGGGATACCGAACAAGGGGACATGTGGCTGAGCATTAGCCGAAGCAATAGGTTTTCCAACTGTGATCCCGACAGAAATACGGTCTTTCGGGGCCATAGCTCTGCCCAGGACGCCGGGAAATGCAAATGAGGAGGAGTCCAGGTCGGAGACGTGATTTAACAAGTCAATTTCAGGGTGACGCTCCCCCCTTTCTGAGAATTCTGCACTTGAGAGGCCTACTCCGTGCATATTAATGAGCTGTTTTGCGTAAATCAATTCTGTTTTTATGAATGGAGATTACAGAGCCCTCGTTTAATTCTTCCAGAAATCCCATCCGCAAGCACGACGCCCGCCCTGAGGCTGGGGCTTTCTCCCTTGAGCACAAAGGATTTGTTTTAATTAAACTTCCCTTTTAAGCAAAAGAGAGCAAATGTAAACAGCGGGGCCTGGGGTCGGGCCTGTGCCAGGGGCCTCTGCTCCCGCCTGCGCACTGGTCTCAGGTTCATTCAGAAATAATCCCAGCAATTTCATTAAAGAGGACACGCAGCCTGGAGGAGTCAACATCGGGATTAGTGACATTGCTTCTTGGCAAGTTGCTGACGGAGGGCCCTGGGTATGGCTATTAACATAAATAGGAATATTAATAGCCGTTCGTCTGTGCCCAGCAAGCCCAGCACTGAGCAGAGCGTGGGCAGTGGGCTCCGACTGACCCCGAGTTGGGCTTTGAGCACCGTGGCCACGAGTGTGCCCGGGCCGGTGTCCTGCAGAGCCCCCCCCCCC